AGTTTCATCTTTGTGGTATGCAAAATGTAGTAGAAAGGGCTATAAAAAGCAGTCCTCCGTTTCCCATCGCTCGCCCGGCGCCCCATAATGTGGAAACAAGCTGGCTGAATGTATCCACGTCCCCTCCGGATGGTTAAAGAATCGTAGTTGAGATTCTTAAAGCCCTTTAATACCGGTTTCCACTTCGGCTTCACATGACTGTAGGGAGTAAAATTTAGTGTTTCATTTTGCCGCTGAGATTACTGCGGTCCATAGAGAAGAGACGCCAAAGGTACGCTCACCTGTGATTACAGAACAGGAAACTTAAGGGCTTCAGAAGCGTGCCAGTGCCTGAAATTCGGTCCCAAACCTGGGACTCTACACCAGTGAACATTTTCTTTATAGAGAAATCACACTTAGTATGTGAGTCTAAAAAGTATGCCCAATGAGTCCATTTTATTTTATAAATGAGTCATTGAAGGTGGGGCTAGGAGTGGTGCCCTGAGGATCAATGAATTAGTGGAAGCCTCAGGAATGACCTCTGGGACTGGAAAGATGGCTCAGCCTTTAAGAGCACTTGTTCACACGACAGGTCACAACTGCTCAAAACTCTAGTTCCAGGATATTCAAAGCCCTCTTCTGACCTCCACAGACACAAGGCATGCATGTGGTGCACAGACACTTATACACAAAGCATAAAATAAATAAATCTGAAAAAGAAAAAAAGAAAAGAATGGACTCTGGCCCAAAGTGTTATGAGTCACTACTTCCTAAGCTGGAGAGAACAGAACAGCTTGGAGAGAACAAGAAGAGGCCAGAAATGAATCTTTGTTCTTTTATGAAAAGAAAAGAAAACCTCCCTCAGAGTGCCTGCCAGCTCTCCCTGCCCCCACCCCTCCTTTTTGCCCTAAATATTCAACTGTGAGGTGGGGGGTAGGGTGGGACTAGCACCTAGCCAGGCAGGGATGTGCCTGAGCAAACAGTAAATCGATAACTGGTTGTGGGAATGACTTGGAAGCTACTCCAGGCACCAAACGTTTTGTCTGTTCTAGTTCAGGGAATCTCTCAACACCTGATGAGGCAAGGCACCATGGTCCCTTTTTATAAAAAGTAAGGCTCAGGGAGATTACCGTAACTGGCTCAGAGGATGACAGCACATGCTTTCTTTCCACCTTCCCAACTAAGCGTGTTATCCCTCCTGCCCATGACCCTACTGACTCTGGTCTTGGCAAGAGTTCTGTTTCCCAGCTCTCCTGGGGCTGGGGTTCTGGGAATGTGACCCTTTGTTGCAGCTGTGTTTGGAGGAGGGGAATGGGGCTGGGCGAGAGGATGAGCAAATAAAGGCAGAAACCTAGGAAAATAGGAACTCTTCTTCAGTCTGATTCTTTTTCCAGGCAGGACAGTGAGACTCCAGAAGCTCCGAGCCCAGCTTGCCAAGGCCCTCAGCTAGAGGCCTGCCATGGCACCTCTGAGGCCCGTTTTCATACTAGCCCTGCTGGCATGGGTTTCTCTGGCTGACCAAGGTATAGGAGGGGATTGGTGGACATCTAGGGTAATGCAGGGTGGGCAGGTGCCCTAGACTGGGCTGTAAATCTGATATTCCCTCCCATAGAGTCATGCAAGGGCCGCTGCGACCAGGGTTTCGTGGCCAGCAAGAAGTGTCAGTGTGATGAACTCTGCACTTACTATCAGAGCTGCTGTGTTGACTACATGGAGCAGTGCAAGCCTCAAGGTGAGTTCAGAGCCCTGGTGAGTGGGCCTGGGGCTCCCTCCACAACTGGACACTCACCATTCCCCATTCTCCCTGCAGTGACTCGGGGGGACGTGTTTACTATGCCAGAAGATGATTATTGGAGCTATGACTACCTGGAGGAGAACAAGAACAATACCAACATTGGTGTGCAATCGGAGAACACCTCTCCACCCTTTGACCTAAAGCCTCGGACTGAGGGGACTTCAACGCCGACAGATTTCCTAGGTCCTCAAGAAGAGTCAAGCACCCAAGGGCCTGAAGTGGAGCAACAGGGGGTGACCCTAAGGCCTGATACCACTGATCAAGAGATCTCTGAATTTTCAGAGGAAGAGCTGTGTAGTGGAAAGCCCTTTGATGCCTTCACAGACCTCAAGAATGGTTCCCTCTTTGCCTTCCGAGGTGACTCTCTGGACAGGTCTGGTGGTGGTAGGATCTGCCTTAGGATCATCTGCTTCTCACACAGTTTCCCTTGTTCTAGGGCAGTACTGCTATGAGCTAGATGAGACAGCAGTGAGGCCTGGGTACCCCAAACTCATCCAAGATGTCTGGGGCATCGAGGGCCCCATTGATGCTGCCTTCACTCGCATCAACTGTCAGGGGAAGACCTACTTGTTCAAGGTATCAGACCTAAGTCTGAGGCAAGGTAAAGGGTGTCATGGAAGGTGCTGGTAGCTGTGAAGACAAGGCAGTCAGGGACTCCAGGAGCTGGTGACAGACAGTTTAGGATATAGGACAGCTTCTGTGCCCAGTAGTATGTCCTCACCCTTCTCCTCTCTGCCCTTCAGGGTAGTCAGTACTGGCGCTTTGAGGATGGTGTCCTGGATCCTGGTTATCCTCGAAACATCTCTGAAGGGTTCAGTGGCATACCAGACAATGTTGATGCAGCTTTAGCCCTTCCTGCCCACCGTTACAGTGGCCGGGAAAGGGTCTACTTCTTCAAGGGTACTCAGGATGGGAGAAGGGGGCAGGTGGTGGTGTCCCTGTTCTAACCTATGACTCCTCTCTACTTGGTGCTCCCCAGCCTTAGTCAGATCCCTTCTGATGCCAGCTGTTCTGCTCCTCAGGAAAAAAGTACTGGGAGTATGAATTTCAGCAACAGCCCAGCCAGGAGGAATGTGAAGGAAGTTCTCTGTCCGCCGTGTTTGAACACTTTGCCTTGCTTCAGCGGGACAGCTGGGAGAACATTTTTGAACTCCTCTTCTGGGGCAGATCCTCTGGTATGGAGGGAGGGCAAGTCTGGCTTCTTTCTCTGGAAAGTGGGTTTGGAGTGGGGCTGGGCTGTGATAGTGGGAGCTTCAGGGGGAGGGGCCTGGAATTGGGGTACCATCGATCAAGAGCTGTTTGCTCTGGCTAGACTTTGCTTCTGTTGACTTTTGGGGGATGAGGCTTGCCTCTATTTGGACCCCATACCTTGGACTTTGCCTAACACAGCAGAAGGAGGGGCTGTGGTTGACGGGTTTAGGAGGGGGCGGAGACATAAGGGATATAGTGGAAAGAGGACCGGAAGTCTGAGGCCTGGGGCCTGGGTACTGAGTTGTGTGTCTTAGGCAAGGCATAACAAATAAACTCTAAAGGTCCTACTGGAGCCAGGTGTGGTTGCACATGCTTTTAATCCCAGCACTTGGAGTCATAGGCAAGTGGATCTCTGTGAGTTAAGAGGCCAGCCTAGTCTTCATAGTGAGTTCCAAGCCAGCCATGGATAGGTGCTGAGATCCTGTTTCAAAGAAAACAAACCAACAAATAGGTAGGTAGGTAGGTAGGTAGATAGATAGATAGATAGATAGATAGATAGATAGATATAATGTCTTGTTGGAGAAATCAAAGCCTGAATCCTCAAAGTACATTAACCCCTTCCCTGTTACAGACGGAGCCAGAGAACCCCAATTCATCAGCCGGGACTGGCATGGTGTGCCAGGGAAAGTGGACGCTGCTATGGCCGGCCGCATTTACATCACTGGCTCCACATTCCACCCTGTCCAGGCCAAAAAACAGAAGTCTAAGCGTCGAAGCCGAAAACGCTACCGTTCACGCCGAGGGCGTGGCCGCAGCCGCAGCTTTAAGTCCCGACGTCTGTCACGTTCACTCTGGTTCTCTTTGTTCTCCAGTGAAGAGAGTGGGCTAGAAACCTACAACAACTATGATTATGATATGAACTGGCTCGTGCCTGCCACCTGCGAGCCCATTCAGAGCGTCTATTTCTTCTCTGGAGGTGGGAGCCCCTTCTACTCCTCAGACTGTTTTTGGCTAGGCCTTTCTTGCAGGTCCTGGTCCCAGGGTGCTGAACACAGCCTGTAGCTAGTGACCCTATCTTCTTGGTGGATGTTCACTTTCCCTTCTGAAAAAAAAAAACCCGTTTTCCTCCTTGGGACTAATGGACAGGACCAGGCAGAGTCTCACATACCCTCTTTCCATGCTCTCTTTCAGACAAGTACTACCGAGTCAACCTTAGAACCCGGCGAGTGGACTCTGTGAATCCTCCCTACCCACGCTCCATTGCTCAGTATTGGCTGGGCTGCCCCACCTCTGAGAAGTAGGAACCAGAGCCCACATGGCTGAGCTTCAGGAGCCTCATCTCCAGCCCTTTTCTCCCAGCCCAATAAAGTCTGTTGGCCCCGAGTTTAAGACTACTGTCCTGAATAGGGTGGGCAGCGCTGTCCCCTGAATAAAGGAAGACAAGTGGGTATCTTAGGACTGATTGAAGGACAGAGAAGACCCTCACTGGGCTCAGGTGCTCTTCTTAAATCAGAGACACTGGGGGCTTGTGAGAGTACCCCTCCTTCTGAGGCCCTGCCATCTGTCAGTTTCCCAGGCACCCTCCCCAGGTGAGGCTTCTTTGACCACAGAGTTAACTAGGACCTCGGAGGACATGAGAAACAGTAGGGTGGAATTCAATTCAGCTTTGCTGTCTGTCTGTCATGAATCTGTGATACAGCTAACTTCTGAGCAACAGAGGGACAGACTCCCACAACACAAACCCTAATGGGGGCTTTCCTCTGAGGCCTCTGTTCTGGGCATAGGGCAGGGAGAGAGAGGGGAGGGCCTGAACAGGAAGAACATGACATTCAACTCCTCCCTCATAGTAGAGCAGCTCAGAGCACCCTCACAGAAGTGGAGGCTCTAAATGTCAATGTCTTTGTGAACCCCTGGTTCTCCTGTAGACCCTTCCCTGGCTCTAGGATGTTGCGTCAGCAGCCCTGAGGGCAAGCTAGTGGTGCCATCTGTTCCCCAGCCCTGGTGACAGGCAGCGGCTCCAACAGCATCTTCATCCTGTTCAGTTCCACTGCCTAGTTCTCAGAGAGTGGGGCAGGAATCCACTTTCTTTCCCCTGAAGGAAGCCAAGACCAGTGTACTTGGGGATTTTAGGGCACAGCCGAAGGCCTGGGTTTCTGCGGTTCGAGGGAAGAATTTCACAAAGTACAGGATTGAAAGCAGAGACTGTCAAAGGCTGAGGTTTGAGGAGGGAGGTGTGACCAGCTTCTTGGTGTGCATCAATCTGGTCAAACCCAGATCTCTAGCAACCCCAATCCTGCCGTTTCCCACTTCTCTCATCCTCCATTGAATGAATGCCAAGCCTCTTCCCTCTAGGGGCGGAGCCACCCACTCGGAGTGGCTTAAAACCCTAAGGCCCGAGTCCGGTGTGGGAAATAGCCCTGGCATGGCCCTCTGGCTCCTCACTCTGTGTCAGCTCCATGGCCAGTCCTGTGGAGGCATCTCCAGGTGACCTGATGGGGAAAGAGGGTGTAGCAAGGTGGGATGGGGAAGGGTGGAGGGGAGGGAGTAGGGGCTGCAAAGGCTGATCAAGGCTTTGAGGCTGGGTGGAGGCTCTTGCAGGAAGTCTTGGTTTGATTCCCATCCTGGCCCACAGACTGTGCCAGGGGGTTGGGTTCCCATCGGAGGAAGAGGACCACTTTCAGTGTTGGGCAGTTGCTGGAGCTGGAACGGGTGTTTGCAGCTAGGCCCTATCCTGACATCAGCACCCGTGAGCACCTGGCTCAGGTAACTCACCTGCCTGAAGCCAAGATCCAGGTGAGTCACAAGAGCCAACTTCTGGGCTCAACAGCCTATTCTCTCTCTCTCTGGGAATTCTACCCTCAGGTTGTTTTCTGTCCCATGAGGCTGTGCTGGTGCCAAGATCGATCCCTTCATCTTTCCTATCAGGTGTGGTTCCAGAATCGCCGAGCCAAGAGAATCAAGGACAGAAAGCCAGGATCCCCAAACGCCAGGCTGGATGTTCCCCCAAACTCCTGTTGTCTTCCAGTCACTCCCCAGCTACCTTGGGACCCTGGAACACCAAGCCATCCTTTACACCCTACCAGTTCAACTCAGGATTCTCCAGCATGCCCACCACAGACCTCCTGCCTAGCCACCATTTTGGGTCCAGGGCAGAGTTTGTCAAGGGCTAAAGCTGCAGCCCCATGGGGGACAAGTGGGGCTTCAGGGGTTCATTCTTCTTTAGAGCAAATTGTTCCTCAGACTTCACTGGGCAACCTGTCTGACCTTATCTATACCTCAGCCACTGTCACCAACGTAGACCACTCCTAATTTAGGTGTAGAGCTTGTAAGACTTGGCTTCGGCCTTGTAGCCCAGTGTTTCTCCTAGGACCAAGCACATTAGAGAACCCCTGCCTCTTTTTGCACAGGAGTACTCTAACAGTTTAGCTCAGGGACCCCCACCCACAGCCTCCACCAGCCTAGTTGAAGTCCTGTGCAGTGACTAGAGCCTGGCTCCTATAACTTGGCATCCTGGTCCTCTTGGGGGCATATGCCCATTGTCTCATCAGGAGGTACTGTCAAAGTAAGGGACTTTATTTTCCACCTTTACTGACAGGTTTGGGTCCCCAGCTCCTATTATCTCAGTTGAATGATCTCTTTCCTCTAAAGGGGCAGCCACCAGTCTAAGAAGGCCCTTCAGGACCTCACATGTGTGCCAGGGGAAGGGTACTGGACTGCTGGGACCCACACTTTCATGGTTCAGGGCCCCATTGTCTGACTTCCTACCACCTGGACAAATTAATCAGAACTGTGGATTTGAAGAGAGTGATATTAAAGTCACAGAAATAGAAGCCTGGGTCTAAGGTTGATTGAATTTCCCCAAAGATCAGATTGATTGCCCTCTGATGTGGGCTGCAGGGACAACTGAACAGAACTGAGGTGGGGGAGGGGTTGGTATCACTGTCCTCTGTAATACCAACTAATCTCCAAATAAAACAAAACTCTTTGCTTTAATCTGGATTGTTGTGTCACAAATTAATGGGGATGAGGTCTGCCTGCCTGGGAAATTTATCTTCCATCATCAAATCCCTAAATCCGGCCAGGTGTGGCAGACTCGGTGCTGGAACCATGTCCAGGCTTCTGCTGAGCTCTGAGCTCTCTCAGGCTCTGGGGACACAGGACATTCTAGTTGCCTCCAGCTCTGAGCTGTTTTGCTTTGGAGAGAGAAGCATGTGCCCATGGAGAGAGGGGTCTGTGCCCAGCCTTGCTGCAGGCAGACCCTCCCTCTGCTGTCTAACTGCCACTCTGATTCCGTCTGTAAAGTAAGATGGGAGCACTTGTTCCCTGTCGGAGAAAAATGTAAGTACAGGGCTTCATGTGGTGACACAGTTACAAACCCACTAAATGCTAGTTCCTGCTGCTTTATAGAGGAACTCATGAGTAACTGGTAAGGCCCAGACTTCCTGTCCCTCTGACCACCTGCCAAGCACCTCCTGGGTGTAGAGTGTTTTGAATAAAGTAGGGCAGAGTGAGAAGTGGCCGAGAGAATTCCCGTTCCTGTGCTGTGAACTGGTCAGCAATTCCTAACACCCACACAATAGCTTAACTCTAGTTCCTCTTCTCATCTCCTCAGGCTCCTGTATGTTTATGGTACACATACATATAGCCAGACATACACAGGGAAGGAAGGCAGGCAGGTGGGCAGGCAGAAAGGCAGGCTGACAGGACAAACAGACCTCCAAGACCAGCCATGATAGCATATACCTGAATCCTAGGACCCAGGAGGCAGAGGCAGAAGTCAGCCAGAGCTATATAGCAAAACCCTATCACAAACAAAAGGGCAGATATTGAGCAATTCACAGAATTATGCAAGTTTTTGTGTTTTGTGTTCTTATAGGACCAAAAATAAAAATACACTGAGCACAAAAAATATTTATTGAATAAATAACATCTTTCAAGTGCCTTAAACACATTCTCTAACTTATCTAAGTTCTGAAAAGTGTAACATAACAAAGACAACAGGACAATGAAGACATCTTTGGCTCCATTTAACACGAGGGCCATAGCTGATCATCTGATTTCTCTCAGACTATTTGACCTCTGGAAAACGGCCTGATACTATTTCCTTTTCCACAAAGAGTTAGCTGCCTGGCTTCTAGTTCTACCATCCTGTATCAACTGGTTTTTCTTCTACTGATGCCTGTCTTCTGACTGTTGGGCCAGTTCAAGGCAGTAGAGTCCATTGGGGGAAAGGCCCGGATTCTACTTACTTCTAATAAGAAAAACCAGACTCAGTAGACCCCAGAATAGACCAGCAAAGGCTGATGAGCACTGGATTCAGAAATTACTGAGATCAGTTCTTTTAGTTTTAAAGAAACACTGTCTGAATCTCCTCTATGCCTGCCTAAGGAAATTCACAGCAGACAGGGCTCCCCAAAGAACCTGACCTGGTCCTCTGACTAACTGGAGCTGAATACAAAGATCATTGTGGGTTGACGGAGAGTCTGTGATGGGCAACGGAGAGCCTGGGGCTCCCCACACTTCTTCCAGACTCTGATGGTGAAGCACCAGTTACAGCTCGCCCAGTTCTCCTTCCATTGCCCTTACCATAACGTAGAGCTCTGCCAGACCCACCACCGAGGCAGCGATCAGCGCAGCCAGCACTCTCTGCAGGTGGAAGAGTTAGGGATAAGGATGTGGGCCAGCACCCAATTTGCAAGCCCTTAATCAGAATTAAAGATTCCCTACTCCAGTCCTAAGTCATCAGTTCTCAACCTGTGGGGTCACGACTCCTTTCACTTCGGTCGCAATCAGATATCCTGCATATAGAGATTTACACTGTGATTTGTAATAGCAAAATTACAGCTATGAAGTAGCAACAAAAATAATTTTATGGTTGGGGATCACCACAATATGAGGAACTGTATTAAAGGGTCACAGCATTAGAAAGGTTGAGAACTATTGCCTTATGTTGTGGAGGAAAGGTAGCTCTTGGGATTGCTACCCACCCCCTGATTATTGGAAAGCTAAGTATGTCCCCTGTCGATTGCATAAATATATCCAACTGATTAACCTGTACGGTTTCACACACATCCTCCCTTTCCCATTAACCCCTACAAGGGGCACTTTGAACTGCCCAGTGCCTACTTACCGAGGCCATTTCTGTGAAGACATACTGGCTTCCTAAGTAAGTGCAGACAAAGGCAGCTGCCACTGTGATGATGAAGTTGAAGATGGTGATGACCAGAGCCTTCACTGACCTCACTTTGGAAACAGTTCAGAGAAGAAACATGTAGGTCAGCATTCTTAGGGAGGGCTAATTACCTCATAGCTGCCTCTCCGATCTATTGTGTTCTCTTCAGAGACCAAGCCTGAATATCTTAGCCTTGATCCCATAACAGTGCAGTAGGAAGATGGGCATGACCAATCCCAGGGAGAGGCTTGAGCAGCCTTGGTTCTCAGCACCTTACCTTGCTTTCCCAGGTCACTGAGAGTGCCCCCACACTGTGCATCCTGGGGAAAAAAGTAAGTAAATAAACAAACAAACAAAAAAACCAAACCAAACCAACAACAACAAAACAGATGATTTCAGAATGAGTTCAGAAATTCCCTTTTCCAGTCCAGCCTCAGCCCTTTCTATTTCTCAACACATTAACTCTGCCCTTCCATGGGATCTTTAGCTTGGGACTTGTAGGATGCCTTTTAGATCAGAGAGAGGAGGATCCAGACTCCCAGGAACCATCTACTTTCCTATGTTACAGCAGAAACATGCCCAAGAAGTCCTGTCAGGAAAAAGGCTACAGGCACACCTGTAATCCTAGTATTTGGGAGGTGGCCTGGGCCACAGAAACCCTTCCTTGAATAAAGAAAAAAGCTCTATGTCTCATATCCATTTCTATGACATTTAAGAATTAGTCACCAGGTCTGGAGAGATGGCTCAGAGGTTAAGAGCACTGGACGCTCTTCCAGAAGTCCTGAGTTCAATTTATTAGCAACCACATGGTGGCTCAGAACCATCTGTAATGAGATCTGGTGCCCTCTTCTGGCATGCAGGCATACACACAAGCAGAACACTACATAATAAACAAACAAACCTAAAAACAACAACAACAACAAAACAGTCACCATCTAAGCCCAGAGTCTCAGTGAATACACTGAAGACTCTTCTTGGTCCACACAGAATACAGATCTTACAGTTCTAGAACAGAGTATAGACCAATATACTCTATACGAATTCCCATATTTTTCTTTTCTTTTTTGAGGTAGGGTCTCACTATATAGTTCTGGTTGGTCTCAAACTCAAGAGATTCATTTGCTCCTGCATCAGGACTACTGGGGTTAAAGGTGCGTGTCATTACACTGCTATCGCCGTTTTTAAACCTCTGTATTGTAGAACATATCCCGAGCAGTAGGCCCTCACCTGACAAGTGACGTTCCGGGTGATCTGCTTATACTCCTCATTGGCTAGCTGTATCTTAATCTTCTCTAGTCGGGCAACTAGCTCTGGATTCTAAACAAAAATAACCATACGGGAAGAATGATATTCTTTTACGTATTTCTTGCTACAGGATATATCATAATCATTGGTTTAAAGCACACTGTACTCCTAAGGGTGCTGGGACACCCACATACCTGTTATGCTTCCACTGCTTTGGAAAATGGTTTACTGGATCTCAGTTTTCCAAAGTTGTCAGAGAAGACTTCTTTCCCTGATCTTAGATTCCCAACAGTTGTTTTTTTTTTGTTTTGTTTTGTTTTGTTTGTTTTTTTGTTTTTAAATCCTTTGTAGATGCATATAAACCCAAGCAGCAGTACATGTGTGGCAGTAAGAGACAACCTTTGGGAATTAGCCTTCCCCTCCACCATGTGGGTCCTGAGGTCGCCTGCCATGCTTGGTAGCACGTGCCCCCACTTACTGAGGTATCTCACTGGTCCCCACATTTTATTTATTAGTGCTAGGGCCTTGTCAAGTACTCTTCCACTGAGCTACATCTCAGCTATTCCAAAGAATTAAAAGATTTCAAACCTAAAAGTTCATTAATAAAACCTGTACCCAACTCTCACAAATCTGTTACATACCCGGGGAGGCTTCACAATCTCTGGAAAGTAGACTTCACTGCCTTCTAGGAGTTCATGAAGGAACAGCCTGGAATCTGGAAAGAAAAAGGTTCCACATAATGGCCCATGTAGCTGAGGCTGGAAAGGTAAGATGATAGAAGGGGGTAGCCCTAATTTTTACCCAAATAAGAGACCTAGCTGTCCCTTGATCTTCATGTACCTCATCTAGAACAAAACTCACTATTCACACTGTCCCAGCCCCTCAAACGCTAGGATTTTTTCAGGTGTGTTCCATGCCCAGCTTAGTGATTTTCTTTCTCTCCTGGTGTTTATTCATTTATTTTTCATTTTATTCAAGATAATTTTCAACTAAGAAAAATCTAGGACAATTCCACCTAAGTATTTTTTAGTGCCACACAGTTGACTTTAATTGTCAGTCTTCAATTACCCTGCCAATGGTAGGTTATTTCTGTGAAAATAATAGATCTGTCCTAGACAGGATTGGGTTGTGATGCTAAACACTAAGAAGACACTGTATTAGAGGATCTTTTTCTAAGGTTCTCTTAAGTCTGATCATCTGCCCTCTGCATTTCTGGCCAGGATATGTTAATTCTGACAAAAACATATTACATGCCAGGAGAAATGACTTCTTTAAAATGTCTAGAACTAGATGCAACTCTTAGTTCAGATCTTTCAGTAGTTTTTTTAAATTACCGTTCCCCTACCCTCATCCCTAAACTGGGGCTTGCATTCTCTACCTTTGCCTTTGAGATAGAAAGAAAAAAAATCACTTTTCCCAACCAGGATAAGCTCACTATTGATATATGGCCCCAAAATGGAGAAACTCAATCTGGGAGAGAGTACTGGGTTAGAATCTCGAGTTCCTAAAAAGTCAGGTGGACTTAAGTGGAACTAAAAGAGGACTCAGCAAAATCTGCAAATACGTTTTATCACACACGAAG